TCATTCCGGTGCTACCGAGATAGGACCAGAGAAGACCTAGACTTCTCTGAGTTCTACCGAGGACCACACTTTCTGTCCTCCGGGGTGAACACGGGCACACCGAGAACAGTCTCAGCACCGCACATCTTAGAGACCCAGGGCCTGCTGCCCGCTGTGTCATTTCCTCTGGTCTTTCAGCTCCCACAGCTCTTCACCCCCACCGACCTGCAATCCAGCATCCTAAACACTCCCCCTGTCTGTCTGACCCTCACCCACTCCACCGCCTGCGCAGCGCGCTTCCCTCCTGACCCACGGCACATTCCCTGCCCATCATGAAAAGTACTCCCCTGAACATAGCCTTAAATGCCTCGCCTCCTTTCCTGGAAAGCGCGCAATCTTGAGGAAATCTAACATTTCACCTACTTGTTGACTAGCCTCCATTGAAAGCAATTACCTCCAGCCTCAAGTGAGCCGTGTGTCTCTGATCATTCACTTCCCACTCACCTGGAAGGTTACGCCATACTTCCCCCAACCCCTCCCACCTCAACACTCCTGTCCCCATAGAACACAATCTGGCAAACTGAAGCCACGTCTAGAGAAATGCCCCGCCCCCTCACTGCCTCACCCACCCCTGTGCATGAATCTGTCTCTAGATGGCGCCCTCCGCTTACTTGTGAGGAGCCAGGCGTCTTCGCCCACACTAGATTGCATCTTTAGTCCAGGTGCAAGGCCCCAGCGATCCTCCCATTCCTTTTTTAGGAAGAACAGCATCCAATGTTCTTCTCTACTAGATTATATCCATGAGCACACAAAGATGCTGCCCCCCTTCGTCTTGAGCAACACTTCTCTTGATCTCCTATTACTCAGAGTAAAAACCAAGGTCCTTCTTTGAGAAAGAAGCCCTTTCCGTGAGCTGAACCTCCTCTTCTCCTTCTTTCCCACGTCCATCTGGAACTGACGCTGTGATTCCATGCCCCAGCCATCTTGGTTGGCATCCAGGACCTTTGCACAGCCCACCTGACCCCCGACCATATTTCATATGGTCATATCCCCCCATTCTTGTTTGATGGGTTTGCTTTACATTCATCACTCTTGAGCATGCTCTACATTTCATCTGCTTAAGCTGCTTAGTATCTCCTTTACCCAGTAAATTGAGGTCTCCTTTGGTTGCGGGTGAGTAAAATCCATGGGAATCATCAAGCTAAACGGGAAGGCGCCCTCTGTAGGATGGAGACCTGAGCCTTACAGTCAGACAAGATGCCTTATGGGTAGGGCTGCTGCATAAAATGTTATTAGGGGCCATGGAGCTAGGATTAATCCTTAGTGACCCTGTCTATGTACAACAGAAGGAAACACGGCTCTGTCCGGCACCAGCCTCACGCTGGTTTCCATTCTTGAGCCCATTGTTGCAGCCACTGTGTCCATCCATCTCCTGAAGGGCCTTCTCCTCCTTTGCTGCCCCTCCCCTTTACCAAACGTGACCTCCTTCTCCAGGGACTGGTTTCTCCTGACATGTCCAAAGTATGCAAGCCAATGCCTCGCCAGCCTTGCCTCTAAGAAGCACTCTGGTCTTATTTCTTCCACGGCAGATCAGTGTATCCATTTAGCACCCGAGGTACTTTCAATGTTCTTCTCCACAATTCACACGCATCTGTTCTTCTTCGGTCTTCTTTATCCAATGTCCAATTTTCACATACCCGTGAGACGATGGAAAATACCGTGGCCGGGGTCAGGTGGACCTTAATCCTCTAAGCAATTTTCTTGCTTTTCAATACCCTAGAGAGGTCTTGTGCAGATTTACCTAAAGTAATCCGTCCTTTTGATCTTTTTTTTTTGGACTTATCAGAAGCATTTTATTTTTAAAAATCATTTTCTTGGGCATGCATGCAGCTCTTAACACAACCCATACATGCATCCATTGTGTCAAGCATAGTTGTATATTTGTTGCCATCATCATTTTCAAAACATTTTCTTTCTTGGTATCAGCTCCTCATTTCCCCCCTCCCTTTCCGCCCTCCCTCCCCCACGATATTTATAAATCATTATTTTTTCATGGCTTACACTGACCGATGTCTCCCTTCACCCACTTTTCTGTTTTCCGTCCTCCTGGGAGGGGGTTATATGCAGATAATTGTGATAGGTTCCCCTTTTTCCCCCTCACCTTCCCCTTACCCTCCTGGTATCGCTAATCTCACTATTGGTCCTGAGGGATTTATCTGTCCTGGACTCCCTGTGTTTTCAGCTCTTATCTGTACCCATGTACATGCTCTGGTCTAATCAGATTTATAAAGTAGAATTGGGATCATGATAGTGGGGGTGTGGGGAGGGAAGCATTAAAGAACTAGAGGAAAGTCGTATGTTTCATCGGTGTTATATTGCACCTTGACTGGCTTGTCTCTTTCTTGTGACCCTTCTGTAAGGGGACGTCCAATTGTCTACAGATGGGATTTGGGTCTCCACTCTGTACTCCCCAGCAGCCATATTGATACGATTTTTGTTCTTGGTCTTTGAGGCCTGATCCCTGATCCCGTCAACACCTCATGATCACATAGGCTGGTGTGCTTCCTCCACGTGGACTTTGTTGCTTCTCAGCTAGATGGCTGCTTCTCAGCTAGATGGCTGCTTGTTTTTCTTCAAGCCTTTAAGACCCCAGACTCTATATCTTTTGATAGCTAGGCACCATCAGCTTTCTGCATCACATTTGCTATACACCCCCTTTGTCTTCAGCGATCATGTCGGGAAGGTGAGCATCACAGAATGCCAGGTTATTAGAACAAAGTGTTCTTGCGTTGCAGGAGTATTTGAGTAGAGGCTCTATGTCTGTCTGCTACCTTAATACTAAGCCTATAAATATATGTACATAGATCTATTTCCCTACTATTATATAAAAATATGTTTATATATGTACATGCCTGTATTTAGACCTCTATAAATGCCCTTTTCCTCCTAGTTCTTTCCTCTATTTCCTTTTACTTTCTTCTTGTCCCACTATCATGTGCAGCCTTTATTCGGGTTTCAGTAATTCCTCTCAGTTACATTGCCCTTGTTCAAACCCCACCAGGCCTCCTACACCCTCCTTGCAGTCGGTTTTAGATCATTTGTTCCCTTGTCCCTGGGTTGTTAACCCTCACTTCCTTTCTCCAACCTCTCCCTCTCCCATGTCTCCTTTCCCCCTCCCCCTCAACCATGGGTCCCATTGTTTTCTCCTCTGGATTTTTAATCCCGCCTATTTTATCTAGATAGACTTGCAGGGACAATAATAAGAACCAAAAAAAAGACAGAACAAAACAAAACAAAACCCCCAAAGAACAAAAACAACAACAACAAAATACCAACATCCTTTTGATCTCTTGATGGCTGCTTCCATGAACATTGATGGCTCCAAGCAAGACAGAATCCCGACAACGTCCACCTTTTCTCCGTTGACCACGATGTGACCTATGGGTCCACTTGGGACGATGTTGCTCTTCTTTACATTGAGTTGCAATCCACACTGAAGGCTGTAATCCCGGATCTTCATCAGCAAGTGCTTCAAGTCGTCCATTTGTAGCAAACAAGATTGTGTCATTTGCATATTGTAGGTTGTCAATTAGCTTACTCCAATCCGGATGCCACATTCTTTTGAATTTAATGCAGCTTCTCTGACCGTTTGCTCAGCATACAGATGGAGACAGTATGGTGAAAGGATAGAACCCTGATGCACGCCTTTCCTAATTTGAACCCATGCAGGACGCCCTTGCTCTGCTCACACAACTGCCTCTGGATCCGCATGCAAGTTCCACATGAGCACCATGAAGTGTTCTGGAGAAAAAAATGTGCCAGATAAGATATGTCCAGTTAGGTTAGGATTTTAGGTAACAGGTGCATTTTGGGGTATCAGGAGATACCCTGCTTCCACTGCTGCTTTCTCTCGGTCTGCACAGTGACTCACTTCTGATTTTTTTCCTTGTGTTGCTTTTTCCTGCTTCCCAGTCTCTGTGAAGGTCAGTGTCTGCTACCAAGGGACTCAGCATTGTTACAGCTGCTCCCTAACAGAGGAGCCTCCAAACATAGACCGTAATAGCCTGGGCTATGGGCGTGCCAGCCTGCCTGGGGTGGAAGCCTTCCTGCTCTGAACCTCTTTTGCTAACCTGCTAAACTCCTAAGCTGACCCTTAGTTTTTGATGTTGTGTTGTGAGCCGACGACAAAGCCATCCCTTGTTCAGTCCTCTTAGTAGGAGAACACAAGCACCTTCCCTGGAGAAACCGTTCAGTGTCTAAACTGAGGAAGGAAGACACCAGGGGGATCGAAAGTTGAAGTGAAACAGGCATTTTCTTCTTCAATCACACTCCTCCCTCAAACTCCCAAGGGTGGCTTGCGAGTTGGAGTTGTTTGTGGGGGCATGCACTAGGTGGTCCACATGGACGGGTGTGAAGCCTCTCAGTCATTTTCTCTCTCTGTCTCTGTCTCCCTCTGTGTTTGTCCTCGCTGTGCAGGTGTCTGGTGGAGAAGGGAGACGTGGCCTTTGTGAAGCACTCCACAGTCTTGCAGAACACTGACGGTAGGGGCCTGCACCAGTCTCTCTCCCTTGGAAAAGTCTGGATCTTGCATGGGAACTCACTTCCAGCTCTTCCACTTGGTCAATTGGAGCTTTGTTGCTGCTGTCCAATGCCAGTGACTTAGCTCCTAGCACGTTTCATCTGGGCAATGAGAAGTGTCTTCACATCCGGCCGGACTCATGGGGTTGACAGACACATGGAGCCACAGTCTGGTGGGTTATGTGTTAGGCTGCTGACCACCAAGTCAGAAGTTTGAGCCCACCAGCCACTCTGAGGGAGAAGGGGGAGGCTCTCTGCTTGCATAAAGACCCACAGTCTTGGAAACTCGAGAAAGCCATTCTACCCCACCCAGCAGGGTTGGCTCCAGTTGGGGTCACCCCAGTGGAAGCGGTGGGTGGGAGTGTTGGTGAGATCTGGACCGACCCACTCTGTATACTCTCGGTTTAAATGTAAATTGGTTTGAACTTATAAAGGGAAAATGGACACTATTTCTCATACTTTTAGTTGCACATAACCTTTGAATCAGAAATACACTTCTAGGAGCTCTTTCTGTAAATTTATTGCTATTAGTGTGTGAAGATCAAAAGGTTAATATGAATTGCAACATTTTTTGGTAGTTAAAACTTAGGAAATAAACAAGTTAGGATACTGAATTAGTTGAAGATATGACCTTTCCACATTATTTACTATACCTTTTCTATGGAGATCTTTTAGTTTTCCTAGTTGTTATTGATGTTGTTGTTGTTTTCAGAATACACATGTACGTTATAATGGGCACTGTACAAGTGACTGCAAGGTTATAGCTGCAGATGAACTTGAAGACCCTGAGGGAAGTTCTCTTTCTGAGTCTTGAATCTCTCACCAGAAATCCCAAACTCACTCCCTTCTAGTCTATTCTACCTCACAGTGACCCTTTGGGACAAGTAGAACCACCCCTGTGGGTTCCCAGGCCGCAAGTCTTTCCAGGAGCAGAAAGCCTCATTTTAAAAAGTTCCCCTCTTGAAGCACCTGATGGGTTCAAACTACTGGCCTTCAGGTTCGCAACCCAACACACAGCCCCACTGCACCAGCAGGGCTTTGCCCACACAGCTACCTTAAGACGGTAGTTGTCCATGTGTGGTCCTGGGGCCAATAGCATTTTAGAAGTAGGGCCCTGGAAACTGTATTAACCGTCCCTTCAGAAGGACTCAAAATTCCACAAGGGAAAGTTCTGCAAGTGGCATCATCTGGAGTTGGAGAGCCCTGGTATTGTGAGATTGTATTTTCCGGTATCTGAGAAAGAAGAAGCATTTTTGGAGACTGAAAAAGATAGTTCTTCCTATTTGGCAAGAAACAAGTCCAGTATTTATTCTTGCTACAAGAAAAAAAAGACACTGCGTACAGACTATTGAGAGGTGGGTCACTGCAGACCTTGGGTGAACATGCAAGTGTAGGTTAACAGAACGTCCCCTTTCTCCAGATCACAGTATTTATTGCACATGTCTTATTGTGTGTAACACACATAGAAAGGAGCACCAATGATAAACGTACTTCTTGATGAACTTTCACCAAGGGAGCTTACCCTGGCAATCAGCTCCCACGCCAAGAGAAATAACCATCACTCCAGAAGATCCGTGCACCCCTTCCTGTCCCTGCTTCCAGCCCCACAGATCAGTTTGGGTTTTAGATTTTATGTACATGACCTTGGCCTCCTTTACTCAAGATCATGTCTATGAGATTTGTGACCACCCACTGATAGGGATTGTACTGTGTGAGCAGACCACGGTGTAGTTAGCCTCTGCTCAATCTTTGGGGTTGTTTGCATTCTCTGCTACTAAGAATAGTGCTGACATGGACACTCATACACATTTCTACTTGTGGATAGATGTCCTCGTTTCTTTTTCTTTTTTTTTTCTTTTTTAACATTTTATTAGGGGCTCATACAACTGTTATCCCAATCCATACACACATCAATTGTGTAAAGCGCATTTGTACATCGATTCTCAAAACATTTTCTCTCCATTTAAACCCTCTACATTAGGTCCTCATTTTCCCCTCCCTCCCCGCTCCCCCCTCCCGCATGAGCCTTTCATAGTTTATAAATGGGTATTTTGTCAATGTCCTCATTTCTTGTGGATATCTACCTAGGAACGGACTTGCTGCATGGTAAGATATGGTCCGTTTACTTTTCTGAAAAAGTAGCATTATATTTTTGGTAGACATGAACACAGCAAAACAGGTTCCCATTTTGCAATTTCTGTATTGTTGTTCAGCGGCATCGGTTACATTCTTCACAGTTTATTAACATTCTCACCATTTCTGCTGTAGTTCTGTTCACTCACACACACACACACACACACACCTTTGCATTGAGGGTGTAGATGACATTTGTTGACTATTTGGTCTCATAGACTTGTAGATTTATGTTTTCAAAAGAGAATAAGTATTCAAGGGCAATATTCCTTTCCTTATAACCTAACCTGCTTTTCAGTTATAAGGTGACTTGAAGGATTGCAGGGCTGCCCCACAGATGGGCTTCCTTCTGTTGTCCAGTGAAAATAACAAGGCCGAGCCAAGCTTACCACACAAGCAGCCAGATTGATTAGAGAGAGAAGAAACTAGTACGGGGAGCTTTGGCAGGGAAAGAGGTTTATAAGAGAGTTTAGGCAGGAAGGATATTATGTTTATTCGTGAAAAGAGGTGGAGACTTTCAGGAATTGGGCGTACATGGGTGGGATTATGCTAAGTGGGTGTTTTGAAATAGAGTCCGAGGTAAAGTTCAAAGTAGGCTGTCATGACTTATTATGGGATGATGCACATGCAACAGGAAGCTAGTTCCTGGGAGTCGAGTCCTCTGCCTGGGTAGTCACAAGTGGCTGGTCTCCTCCTGTTCCTATGACTAGGTGAAGCTCATCAAATGGGTAAATGCTGTAGGGTCAGGATGTGGAACTAAAATGCACTATACCTACAGAGGGGAAAAACTCAATATTTTAGCAGGTAGGGTGAAGAAAATTGAAAATTAAGATAGACCATTCTAATGTCCCATAAGTTAAAATGTTAACTGGATATGAGCTGTGATTGAACCTATACAGCTTGGCTTGGGAAGATTACCCAAAGTCATCTGAACTTGAAATATGGGGGTGGAAGAATCCTGCCTCTTTCCTAATCTGTCTCAAGGGGATGTTTCAGCTCCAGACTTAAAGAATACTCCAGGGCAATTGTCTTGGGGATTCCTCCTGGGCGCTAGTAAGTGGTGACACTGAGTCAGGATCCCTTCTGTCTCAAGGAGTCCAATAAGATGCTCCCCCTCCCTGTCTATCAGGACCCATTTGCTGTGGTCCTGGTTAGAACCCATGGCAGTGGGAGCTGGGCGTCATCTATTCTTCTGGTCTCACGGAAAAGGAAGCTGTGGTTCATAGGGACAACTAGCCCTCTGCTTCTTGGGTCTCCTTCTTTATTATTTGCTTCTGCTCAAGAGACCAATAGATGGCTTCTTAAATGCTTTTAAGACCCCAGACACTGCTCAGTGAATATGATGTAGAACCTCTACTTTATGAACTTCATTATGCCAATTGACTGAGTTATGCCACAAGTCAAGAAAACTACTGCCATGGGGGTGGTTGGGTATGTCTAAAAAGTATCAGTTTCTATCACATATATGTATATATGCATATGCATATACAAGGGGGTTTCAAAATACTTATGGAGGATTTTCATTAGCTTTTAATTCCTTCTTCTATGAACTTTTGAACCCCCTCATATGTACACACACAGACATACAATAATTCACTTTTGTAAACAGGGTCAAATTTTTTAAAAAGTAGAAATGCCAATTCACACTCTCACCAGAAGCTCCACGTCTTCACCCAGACTTGGTCTTTTCTGAAGACACTCTGAGATTATGTAGGACATAACAGAATTTTCATGTACTTTTTATTAATGTTAATCCCCTGGATGAGCTGGAAATTGTTTCATAGTGTATGGGTCCCCATGTTGGGTATCTTCTATTGTAAAGTTCTTGTTCAAATCTCACACCTGTTTTCTACTCTTCTTGGTTCTTCATTAAAAGGCATCCTTTATATAGTCTATATAAAAAGGTTTTGTCAGATATGTTATTAAAAATATCTTGTCTCTCTGTGTAGTTTTAATTTGTAGTCTTTTCATTTCTGATGAGTGCTTTTACAACCTTGTTTTAAAAAAAAACCTTTACCTACTATGAGTGTATGGGTTTTCTCTTATCTGTTATTGCTGCATGTCTAGTGGGCCTCTCTCAGACACTGGCAGTTGGTTGCACCTGACCAAAGTCACCCTCTTTGACTGATGCGTCTTACTTCTCTCCCAGGAAAGAACCCTGCCCCCTGGGCCAAGCATTTGAAGCAGGAAGACTTCGAGTTGTTGTGCCTTGACGGTACCCGGAAGCCTGTGACGGAGGCTCAGAACTGCCACTTGGCCATAGTCCCAAATAATGCGGTGGTCTCAAGGAAAGAGAAAGCTGAGTTTGTTCGCAGAATACTCTTCAACCAACAGGTATGGGCAGCCAGGGCCTCCTCACAACTGAGCTCTCAGTTCCCTGGTGGAGACACGTGGACCCATCCGCCCAATAGCCAGGCTTTTCTCTGGGTGGTAAAGAAGAAGGTGGGTTGCTGTGTTCACTTCATGCTCTAGGACAAAAGCAGCTCAATTTTCATCAAGACCATTGGACTCGCGGCGAGCCATGCGTGCTGAGGGCAGAACTGGGCTCCACAGGGCTCTCAGGGTTGGTTTCTCAGACTGGATCATGAAGCTCTTCTTCTGAGACTCACTCCTCTGCGCAGGCTTAAACCTCCACCTTGATTTCCCATTTATGTATTCTTATTAATTAATCATTTCATTGGGAGCTCTTACAGATATCATAACAATCCATCATTCAATTAGATCATGCGCAATTGTACAATTGCTGCCACCATCTGTTTCAAAATATTTTTTCTTCTTGAAAACCTTTCCCTTTACCAGATTAGAAAAGTCTCGGACATTTGGACATGTGAAATGGCTCCCAGAGACTCAGGTGACTCTCGGAGCAGATTCATGGTGCCTCTTGGGCTTATCAGTGACTCCACCCAAATATTCCCTTTTGTTCTTCTTCCGCGTCCTTCCCGCTAGGCTGGGCTATATGTTGTGAAATGCTGACTGAAGATGCCTGAGACTCTGTTAGCTTCGTAAAAATTGAGAGCAGCACCATTTTGGAGAACTTGTGACCCCCCACAGCGAGTCAACCAGGGGTGGCGGACCACGTACATCACACTATTCTAAGGAAAACTCTAAGACCCCGCCTCCATTGGCACTATCACACCCTCTTCTCAGAGGTATACCGCCAACAAGGACTCTGTCTTAGCATGCATTGCCCATGCATCACAATTCAACCAGGTTGACCCAAGGAGAGTTAGCAAAACAAGAGGCTCAGAAACTTGGACTTTTGAAAGGGCCGGTCCCACCCAGGGTGAGCTGCCACCTTGACTATATGGGAAAGAAAGGAGAGGAAGGCGGTAGAAATAGCAGGCATTTAAGGCATATACAGAAAATAAAAAAGACAAGGTAATAAATGCTTCAGGCAACAGGACAACATGCAAGTAAGATGGAAAAGTTGAATACCTGGTAATGGTTGGAGAGGCAGTGATACCATGGCAAACTTCAGCTCCTTTTCTATACTTGATAGACCCGTGGTGGTGCAGTGCATTAAGCATTTGGGGTAGTAACTTCAAGATCAGTGATTCGGGAGAAAGAGGAGGCTGTCTGTTTCCATGAAGATTTGGTCTCAGAAACCGCCGGGAGCACGTCTGCTCTGTTATATAGGGTCAACAAGTCCACTTGATGGCAGCAGATTTGATTGTGGGTTTTACACACATCCTCTCGTTGCTTATTGTTAATCATTTTATTTGCAAATGAACAGAAAGGCTTTCGAGCTCAGAGTTTGCCCAAAGTCACACAGTAAGTAAGAGACAAAAGGCAGGGCCAGGATTTGAACCCAGACAGCTGGCCTCCAGAAACCACGCTTTTGGCCGTTGTGTGAGGGTGCCTCCGGAACTGTGGCTGCGTCCCAGGTTCTCAGGAGGCTGGGGGAAGCAGCTCAGCAGACTTAGGTCTTCTGAGATAGATTACACAGCCCCGAGCTTCCTGGTGTCTGTACTCACTCACTGCCTGTCTGTCTGTCTGTCTGTCTTGCCTAGGAGCTCTTTGGCAGAAATGGGTTTGAATATGCCATGTTCCAGCTGTTCACGTCATCTGGCAACGACCTGCTGTTCAGCGATGACACGGAGTGTTTGGCCTCCCTGCAGAACAAAACGACATATGAGCAATTCTTAGGGCCGGAGAACCTGATGGCTGTTAAGAACCTGAGACCGTACTTAACTTCTGGTAAGTAGAATAGTATCTCAAGGAGGAAGTACCCTGAGGGTCAGGTTTGCATTAAGGCCTACTTACTGTGCCCTGGGCAAGGATCGGGGGACACAAAGTCCTGCAAGAGGATGCATGCAGAGTGTCACCCTGAAAAAAAGCCCAGCTGCTTGAAGAAGACAGTGAGTGCAATAAAACTTCAGATCACTGGAAATTAAACATGCTTATACATGGATTAGGAGGCCTGGCGGTGTAGTGGTGATGAGCTGGTTGCAATCTGCAAGGTCAGCAGTTCAAAACCCCCAGTGGCTCCTCAGGAGAAGATGGGACTTTCTACTCCCATAAACAGTCATGGAAACTCCCAGGGTCAGTTCTACCCTGCCTTATAGGATCTCTGTGCGTCAGCATCCACTCGATGGCAGTGAGTTGCTTTATTTGGCTGATACATGTATTTTCATTTTTTGCTCTTAAAACGAAAATGTATATGACTGAGCACTAGGCCTGGGAAATGATTTAGCTATACCATAGACACAAGATCTGTTTCAACTATTTTAATTAACTACACAGACAATATTAATAGAACAAGCAAATAAAGCATACTTAGCGGGTTGGTAGGCCCTTTTCAGCTATATGTATGAGAAGGTTTCAAATAATTATTCCATTATTCTTTAATTCTGTTTTTCCACGAATTTTTGGAGACCCCTCATCTGTGTACACTCATAGATATATGTGGCATTTTCAAAGAGTTCCTGAAAATGCATATTATGAAACAAACTATGCAAGCATTTCAGAGCTTTTTGCACCAAAATAAACTTTCCCTAAAATTACAACATGTCTGAAGAGGATCGAGTTTGAGGCATTAAGAAGGATAAGACATCGGTTTGAAAAGGGCCCCTAGCGGAGCACTAAGAATTTTGCTCCACTTGGAGCAAGAACAAAGATCAAATCGCCAGTGAAGCTTGGGTGGAAGGATGTGAAATTGTTGATGTTTGTGGGAAACCATGACTAGAAGAAATCAGCAGTTCACAAAGTGACACATTGTTTTAAGAAGGGACAGGATATGTTGAAGATGAATCCCACCACAGCAGAAAATGGACACTAATTTTCGATGAGCTTTATGCAGAGGACGGACAATTAACAGCAGAAGCAACCACCAGCCCCATGGACATCTCCATTGGCTCAGCTTACATGATTGTGGCTGAAAATGAAGGCTGAGCCAACCTTCTGCTCTGTGGGTACCAACTTTCACTGGAAATGTTAAACCAGTGAGATCCAGATCCGGACCCACTTCTTGGAAGAACAGCAGCCAGAGCCGAAACATGGTTGTATCAGTATGATCCTGAAGACAGGGCACAAAGAATGGCCACCAAGAAGTGGAGGCAATCCAGTCAAGGGAACAGAGGCCTGGTCCTGAGCAAAGGCCAGGACAAGAGTGTTTGGGGATGCTGAATGCAATTTTCTAGTTGAATTTCTAGAGGGCCCCAAGTGATAGCATCCGCTTACCATGAGAGAGTTTCGAGAAAGTTAGCAGAAACATGGCCAGGGAAACTTCACCAGAGATTCCTTCTGCTCCAAAACAATATCCCAGCACGTTCCTCTCATCACACAGGACACTTTTTATCCATTTTAACAGGAAATTGAGGAGCCCTGGGAGTGCAGTGGTTACGTGTTGGGTTTCAATCCACATGGTCGGCAGCTCAAAACCACCCGTAGCTCCCTGGGAGAAAGTTGGACTTTCTACTCCCATAAAGAGTTACGGTCTTGGAAACCCATAGGGGCACCGTTATGAGTCAGTATTGACTCAGTGACAGTGAGTTAGGGTTGTTTGGGAATAAGAAATCGTTAGATGTCCACCTTGCCATTCCTATCTGACTCCTGACTTTGTTTTCTAATCTTAAAGAACCTTTAAAGTGAACCCTCTTTTCTGCAGTTAATATTGTGAAATAAGGAATATTGGAGCTCTGTCAGGTAAGCATTGGACTACTAACCACAAGGTCAGCAGTTCAAACTCACCAGTAGTTCAATAGGGGAAAGGTATGGCTGTCCGCTCCTGGAAAGACTTGCAGCCTCAGAAACCCTTTAGGGGGGGTATTGCTTGAGTCAGAATTGACTTGAAGGTAGTGGGTTTGGTTTGGATTTTTTTTAATACTGTGAAAAAGTCTGTATTGTCATAGTGCATTTCCCAGAGTCCTCAGTTCTTTAAGGATGGACTAAATGGCTGGTATCAGTGCTTAAAAAAATGTCTTGAACATAATGCAGCTCATGTTGAGAAGTAAAGATTACATTTCTCATTGTCTATTTCATTTTCCATGAACTTTTTGAATGATCTGTATATGTTAGAATGGTATAATTGCATTAAGAGGAGATTCATTGGGTGTCAATGAGAGTGGGAGAGGAAAATGGTCAGGTGTGTGACTGGGTTTTTGGTTGAGTTTGTACCAGGCCCTGGAGATGACAAGAGCAGGGGGAAAGAAAAGCTTGTACACCCATCGGTGTGGTACTATATGTGCTTAAAAATCTTTGTTCACGACTGCTAACTCCTAGAAAAGGGATACACAGAATGTACTCACGTGTCTTTCTCTTGTGTTCTTGTCCCTACAGAACTTCTGGACGCCTGCACATTCCATGAAAAGTAAAGCCCAGTCAAGGATTGGGCTTGTCGGCCTGGTGGACCACCTTCTCCCCTGTTTCCACGTGGGCATGGTGGACCACCTTCTCCCCTGTTCCCACGTGGGCATGGTGGACCACCTTCTCCCTGTTTCCACGTGGGCATGGTGGACCACCTTCTCCCTGTTTCCACGTGGGCA